GGGGAGGAGGACAGGAGAGGGGACAGGAGAGGGAGAGGAGTAGAGAAAGAAGTAGGGATAGAGATAGAGATAGTAATATGGGGGGTATGAGTGGGGTCGTGAGCGGACTGACAGTGCTGACTGAAGCGGAAACAAGAGATTGGGGTGGATGGGAAAGAGTACAGTATCTAGTTGATGTTCTGGCAAGGGAATCGAACACATCTGGATCGGGATCAGCACCGGGAACTTCAAGCGGTGCATATATGCCCGAGTTATCAAGAGGTGTATTTGGATTAGGAGTTGGTATTGGTATTGGTTCTGGTGGAGGAGGTATAGGAGGTGCAGGTACAGGTGTGGGAATAGGAAATCCACCCCAACCATCTCCACCAACAACAATAACAACAACAACAACAGCAAGAAGAGACGAAAGAGCTCGAGGAAATGAAAGGATGAGTATTACGAATATTATCTGATCTGATACCCTTAGGCTATGAGTATCCTATTCCATCTAAACTGTTGGATTATATGTTGTGTTAGCCTGAGAAGAAGATATAATATAATATGATAGATATCGATATACTAGATTTTGATTAAAAATAAAGATAAAGATAAAGATATATAATTAAATCGCTTATAGTACAGTTTTATCTCAGAAGAAGGAGAAGAAGAATAATAATAATATCAAGAATAATAAACTAAAATAGAACAATAAGTTTGAAATATATTATATATACTAGTAGTATATAATACTCAGGCTACTCCGAGTCGAGTATTTGCCCTAACTTAAAGAATCGAGTCGAGTAAAGTAAAGTAGACTGAGCTAAGTGATTAACCTCTAATAGATATTTGATCTTACTACTACTATATATATACAAGTATAAGATTACATAGAGAATTAAGCTAGTATTTATAAGAGCCAATTTGATTTTGTATACTAGCCATCCGAGTCTTTTAAAACCCCGAGTAGTATTATCAAATCCGAATCTCATTCGCTTCCCCTAAACCCGCCTCTTCCCAAATCGCCTCCGAGTCACTCCCCGGCCCCCCCTAAGGTTTTTGCAAAATTCCCTCCAAAGTTATTCTAACCCCTCGATACTTATACAAATTCATATATATTCATAAAACTTGAATAAACCATCATCTCTATCTAAACAAGCTATCTAAACAAGCCCGAGAATCCCATCTAATCCCATCTAGTATATCTGCTGTAATATTCTAAACTGTAGTAGTAATCTAATTACTCGAGTAGAGAGATTCTAATATTCGAAATATTTTTAATCTCTTAAAAAAATCTGATCATTCTACTGAGTAAGCAATTCAAATATTTCAAATACATTTAATAATCAAGAGATTCCAATGTTCGAAATATTTTCAGTCTCTGAAAACGATTGAATCATTTCAAGCAATCCAATATTTTAAATCAGAATAATGCTTAAGATATATTCAGGAATTAAGAACATCTTATTATTGGACTACAATCTGGACTATTGGATACGCTGCTATCCTATCTTAAATAACCACACATCAAACACTAGCCAAACAGAGTCCCCCCCATCCCATCCCATCTCATCACACCTCATTCCTTCTTTCAAACCTCTCAACCCACATAATCCCCCACTCCTCCGCCTCTCTCTACTATCTCCCAGATGTTTCCCAAACCCTCCCACAACCCCCCAAAATCGTCTCAACCCCCTCCAAAGTTGTTTCAAACCCCCTTAGAGTTATCCCAAGAGTTGTCCCAAACCCCTCAAGAATTGCTTCAACCCCCCTCCAAAGTTGTTTCAAAACCCCCTAGAGTTGTCCCAAGAGCTGCTTCAAACTCCCTCCCAAATCACCTCCACCCCCCTCCCCCCAGAAGTTGTCCCAAACCCCTCCATAAATCCCTAAAGAATTGCTTCAAAAACTCTCCAAAATAGTTTTGAAAAGTTTTGAAAATAAAATTCCCATCGATTTGTGAATGTTTCGAAAGTTTCACTGTAGTTCTTCAATTGGTAGTAAAGATCGATGAAGTCGGTATACCAGAGTTATAATAATATAAAGAGACCGAATTTTCCAGATAAAGATGTTTTTTCCCAAGATTTGAATCCTTCCGGATTCCAAAATAGCATTCTAACAGGATAAAAGGAGGCTGTTTAATGATATTACAGTAAAGAATCTGAATCCTCCCATCCTTCCGGACTCCAAAACAAAAGCCCAGAATTGCAACGTTGGTTCGACGATTGGGAATTGTTGTCCAGTCTCCAGCAACAATCATTCTCATCTTCGCATCCCTTAGATATGCAAAGGTGTGTACACCCGAGAACCAACTATAATATCGAGTATTAGTTACGTACGGTATATACTTCGAGAAGCCTCCTAAAATCATCATCTTTTGACAACATTTGGTTTGAAGGGAAGGAGTTTTTATAACTTACCACAGTGAAAGCAAATACATAATGAATTTATTACTACTGTTATTAAAGTTCATATAGAATGAGACCGGACAGCAAAACTGCGCCATGAGTTCGAAAGAGAAGTAGAGATGGCGAAAGTGACTTGTATTCAGCCATTGTGACTGTGGATTGTAGTTGTGAATTGTAGTTGTGAATTGTAGTTGTGAATTGTAGTTGTGAGAATCTTCCAAAGTTCGTGAATTCCGCCATAGTGACTGTGGATTGTGGTCGTGAGAATTTTTCGATTTGGATGTTATGTGCGTAACATTTATTGTAAATTGTAACATGTACAAATTTCCGCCCCAAGGAATTGATTGGCAAGAGAGCTAGAGACAATCAATATGAAAGTACAGACTCAAAACTTGAAAGTTCGGGAGATGAAGGGAATATTGAGGATTTGAGGAGTACCATGGTCTCTTAGGGACGAAGAGTGAGTTTGTTTGGAGATCTGGAAAGGTGAAAGATAGATGCCACGAATGGGACGGGGATGAATGCAATGAATGGAGGGGGAGAAAAGCATGAAGAGAAAAGCACAAAGATATTGAGTTATCGGACAAAAACGTTGAAGGGATTGGTTTTGTAGGTGTGGAAGGGCTAGAGTCGCACCTTCCATATTGGTCCCTAACAACATCTCTATTTCGGATGGCTCCTTGAAGCTGTCGTGTAGAGTTGAGGGAGGAGGATATGGGTATAAGCGAGTCCAACATAACAAACAAGATAATAAGAGTGAAATCTCAGTCAACCATCTTTCTCTTTTTTCCTTTCCACCCCCTTCTCCCCTCTAACCACCCCCAACCAAAAACTTATTTCGTATTATCCTATCTCTAACCACAACCATGAGGATGAACTTACCGAACATGATGAATACAACAACGAGCAAGAAGAAAGAACTCCCGCCCCTCCCACGCACACGAAACCCTATGATCCAGTGATCTTGATTTCCCCTCTTTAGTGCTCCCTTCCTCTTCTTTCCTCTCCTATCTTGCTCCTAACCTTTGAAATATCGCGCTCCTTCCCATCCTTGGAGGCTGGAGCTAGGATAGGAGAGGAGGGGGAGAGAATTTTTGAGGTGGTAGCTACATGGTTTCCCCACTATTGCTTTCAAATCCACTGATTTCAAAATAACATCATCTTTTTTCCTATTCATTCCTAACCTCATTTTTAACTATTCCTATCCACTCCTTTCTGTTCCTAACCCTTGATGCCTGAGAGCCTATCCTATTCTGTCTTGCAGGATAGGAGAGCAGGGTAAATCAAGATCATTGACCCTATCGCTAGATGATGATTGACGTGCAGAATATCTTCTTTGCATTTAAACATCAAACATCGAGTATCCTGATTATAACCATGATACCATGATGCAGCATCTAGATACTTTTCTCCCGAATACTCCGACTCGGATTCTCACTCCTCTCACAAACACGAGCCCCTATCCCCTCAACCCCATCTTAACGACCTCGCTCGTCGGGACGTATGTTTTTATGATATATTGACGCGCTCTCGTCGATATGGATATATAACTACTATATGCCACAAGAACGAACTTTGCCGCCAACACCTCACTCATCAAATCGCACGCCTCAATATACTCGAGTAGAGCTAAGAGAAAATGAAGGAGTGATGAAGAGGTTAGTGGGTGAAGACCTTGTTGGGGAATGAGGGGTGCGCAGGGGGAGAGATGCTGAGCTGGATGGGGGAGGTGAGGTACTGGAAGATGTGGGAGGAGGGGTGGAAGCCCTAGAGAGGGTATTGAGAGGGGCTTTGAGGAGAAGGGGGAAGAGAGGAGAAAAGAGAGGAGAGAGAAGAGAGGAGAGGGGAGTGAAGAGAAATGTTTAGGATGGGGACGGGGGGTGGGATGGAGATGGGATGTGGAGGAGGTGGAGAGAGGAGGATTAACAGGGTTGAGTATGAGAGTAGGTAATACAATGAAATAAAAGTTGACGTCATGATCATGATTCTGCATTCCCGGCATTTCTTCTACACTAACAATTGAAAGATCTAGCTCCAAGAGACGGCAATAGGCATGTATTCTCCGTCGTCCACTGGAATAGTTCTCAATCATAAGGGAGAATATCTTTCATATCAAAAAACAAATTTATGTACGAAGGTGATGATAATTATACAAAGGTTTATATGTAATATAAGAATCATCATAGCAAGTCCCGGTATATCGATGACCGATAGAGATGAGTGGTAAGTCTTAAGGGCACACTAAATTAGTTCGTCTTCGTACTATTACTAGTAGAGAGTGGCACAACTTGAATTTTCGCACAACTTAACATTTCCATTCTTTACAGGAAAAAAAATCATCTCTTTCTTCTTAGTATTTATCATTTCAAGCAGCAAATTTGGATTCTCACATCTCTCATCTCAAATCTCAAATCTTAACATTCGTTATAACAATCCACATCAACATGGAAGCAGCAGCTCTCGCGGCATGGAACCACACCAAATTTGTGAGCCAGGGGCTCAAGTAAGGATATATAATCAAATCATCTGGACCGATTACCTGACATGGAGATGTATAATGTGGGGAAGGAAGATGCGCCACGCAAGCTATATATCCCACCATATGCTACCGTCCCTCATGCATCATGCGATACATGCTAGCCTATGTCAAATTCATCTTTGCTACCATCTTCAGTCTTTTCGTGCACATCCGAACTTCGAGGCGCGGGAGAAAATATCCGACGAGGCAATTGTACGAACGTGGGCTACGATGATATGATACTTTATCATACCATATTCTTCTTTCTCCATCAGGCACTTGCGAGATTTCCTTCTCGTGTAGATGAAGAGAGAGCCGTTGTGCGTGCGCTTGAAAAATTGCAGGATGGAGACCTAAGGGTGTTGGTTGATCAGATGATCAACTTGAAGGACTGTAGAGCCCTGCCAGTGGGTATGAAACCGATATTGGGAGATTGCTATGATATCGATCTCGCAAGGGGAAATGAAGAGATTGCTGGGACTACTAAGCCAGAGATAGAGATGAACTTGAAGGGACGAGAGGATTTGGAATTGGGGTTCGGAGTGAACTTGAAGCGAGATTGTTGATGTGGAACTTGAAAGAACGGGTTTGGATGTTTATATATTATTTGATATGTAGGGATGTAGGGAGGGGGAATGAGGAGAGAGCCTGAGATGGAAGGAGAGTGGGATAGAGGGAGAAATGAGGAAGTAGGGAGAGGGAGGAGGGGGAGAGTGAAAAATAGTTGGAGTTGGACTTAGAGTTTAAGATTTAGATATTTGGATGATTCAGTAGCCGGCAAGTCTTGAATTATTCAAACCTCTAGATTAATTAAAACAGAAACATGGAATATAATGCTAAGTAAATATATCTCTATTATATTGATACATTGATATTCAGAGAATAAGAATACTCGAGTATTACAAAACTACCAAAAATACCTCCATCCAGAGTTTTGAGATACATTCAATCAATGAATTAACACAAAACAATAAATCATTCTAAACAATTCCAGATTAGATATCTATCTAATTATCTAGATCATAATCCAACAATCAAAGAATCTTAATTGCTAAAAAAATCTCCATCCAGAGTTTTGAGATACATTCAATGATTGAATTCATTTAAAACAATGAATTATTTCAAACAATTCCCGGTATCTAATTGTCTAGACTATAATCCAATAATTAAAGCCTTATATTCTATTTGCTTGTAATCTAATCTTATTAAAAGAAATTCTAATATTCGAGAGATTTTCATTTGAATACAATTGAATCATTTCAAACAATTCATTATTTCAAATACATTCAATTGTTGAATTCACATGAAACAATGAATTGTTCGAAAATGATTCAAGGAATTTAATTGTCTAAACTATAATCCAACAATCTTGAATCATTTCATACAATTCATTGTTTGAAATAAATTCAATGATTGAAATGGTTTGAATTTTCTTGCCTAATAATCCGTCCTAACCGGACTAGAATAGAAACCACTCCAAGTTTTATCTGATCTTAATTTCATCTCATATGCATCAATCATCCGTCAATCATACATCCATTATCAATCATTCATAAAACCAACCATCTAACCAGTCTTCTCACTCTCCTGCATAATGATCTCATTCATATCCCCGCCCGCACCCGCACCACCCGCAGTCTTTGTAGCATTTGGGCTCGTATCCGCAGAACTAGATTTCTCTCTCTCCTCCCTAATGGTTTCTAACTGTTGTTGAAGATCGAGCATATTCGAAGAACCCGCATTAGTATCAGTGACTCCACCTTGCACACCTTCCACTTCCTCAGTATAACGCGCAAGATCTGGACATTCCTCATCACTACCAGAACCACCATGACTTGCAGAAGGACTTGTGATTTGTGGATTTCTCTTGACTTTCTTGATGTTTTTCCATTCCATGGTTAAGCCGGCAAAAATCGTAACAGCACTTGTGATGATAGCCACGAGAAAGGTTGTCGTAATAGCCGCATTGTATGCTACGAGGACTTCTTGAAGGTATTGTGCAGGGACGAGTTTTCGAAGTTCGGTGGCGCCGGTGTGTAAGATGAGGGACGCTGGTAGAGAAGGGAGATTCAAAGCCGAGAGGTTCTTGACTAGTTGATGAGAGAAGATGATTTGACCAACAGTGACAAAGATCGTGCCACCCAGACCTTGTGCGAAGAACATCAGTGCAAGACCAGTTGACGTATCACCATCTGGCAGACATGCTTGGACGGCTAGATTGGCTTGTTGCATGCCGAGACCAAGACCCCATCCGATTAGAACCTGCCAACCTATCCATTGTGCCGGTCCACTATCTATTCGTAAAGTGGTAAAAAACCCTGCGCCAATTGTTGCAACAACTGAGGATGCAATTACCATAGGGACATAGTAACCTGTAGTTTTTGTAAATATTCCTGCAAGAAGATTGGATAAAACGAGAGCGAGGACCAATGGAATGGTATGAAGGCCGGAACTGATTGCGTCGAGTCCTTGAATAGCTTGGAACCAAATTGGAAGGTAATAAATTAGAATGTACATCGATCCTGGATTGAAAAAAGAAAACCATACTCCCGAAGCAATAGATCTTTGCTTGATAATTCGAATAGGTACCGTTGCATTCTCTCCGGCTTTGAATTGAATTATGACGAAAAGTGTCAGAAGAATCCCCCCAAGTATGAAGAGAACGATGATTCTTGCATTTCCCCAGTTGTATGTGTTGCCTCCCCATTGCAATGCCAGAAGTATGCTTATAATGCCTGGGATGAAGACTAGTGTTCCGAACCGATCCATCTTTTGAAGTTTTTGGCGGAAGGTATCTGTATTTTTGCTTGGTGATCCTTTGACGATGAAGAAGAGAATAAAGGCAACCATTCCACCTACTGGAAGATTGATATAGAAACACCATCTCCAATTGACTTTTGTGGTAAAAACACCACCCAGAAGTGGACCACAAACATTAGCCACAGCTATGATTCCCCCGAATAGACCTTATCGTGTTAGCTTCAGGTACCCATTTCTCATTCAAGCAGTATTTCTTACCCATAAAGACAGGCCGACGATGAAGAGGCACATTGTCAGTCATGATCAGGAGGACCCCATTGACTGCAGCATCGTCAGTAAATGTCTCTCAAGGAAGGCTTGTAGCTTGTAGCTGGGAGTGAAGAAGATGTAGAGGATGAAGCTTCCAAACGAAGCTCGACATCAAGGCATGAGGAATCAAAGAACCAATTATGCTTACAGATACCCGCAGAACCTAGACCGGCTTCTTTATGTTAGTTCCAAAGGTTGATAGAAAAAGGACAGGAAGATATTCACCAATTGCTCTACCAACGATAAAAACCTTAGAATTTGGTGCCGAACCACATATAGCAGACTAAGGTTTGTTAGAACGGTAGCAGATATACGCGTAGAAAGGGTAGGTACTTACACCAATTTCAAATATGAAAATTGCCACCATAAGAACCCATTTATAGTTGTAAAACTTGTAGATTTTACCAAAGATCAATTGTGTAGCGCAGCTTGTAAGAAGATAGGCAGATGCATACCAGCCTACATCTTCAAGAGAGTGAAACTCATTAGTGATGGTAGGGATAGCGGTGCCGAGGATTGTTCGATCCTAAAGTTCTTGTTAGCATCATGGGACATTCAAGGTAGAAATTGAGTAAGATAATATGAATATTGGTGGTGATCCAGATGACCCCTTTGCGGTCAAGTATCGGGCGCTACTAGCGTCATTATATAGTATACCTAGGAGTATACCTAGGTATATAACTCCTCCTGAGCTCTCCCAACATAACTCCTTAGACCTCTGAATTGTTCCATTTTAAAGTATCACAATCTTTTGGATTGTTCAAAAATGATGAGACGTCAAGCATATATGACTATGGAGAAGGAGGGCGGGATTGGGTATGTTTGAGAGTGGATATGACATCCAAACCTAGGATTTGTGGAATATGGGATGGTTCCTCGTCTGAATAGGGAAAGAACTTACTAGAGACACAACCACCATGCACAAGTAAAGGGAGAGCATAATAACACTCAATTTTCTCCAGCCAGGCTGTTTTTCTTCTTCCGCATTATTTTTTCTGGTTCCCCAACGGGTGAGGCGCCCATTTCGAATCGAAGTGGATAAAGGGATGCCAAAGGAGCTTGTTGCCGTGGTTTGAGCCGAGTTTGACTCAATCGCGACGCCAACCATCTTGGTCTTCTTCTCGTTAGCCAATTCCGGGAAGTATTCTCTTAACATTCGAATATCGAGTGCAATCTGGAAAATTTGAGCTGGCAATGGTTCTTGCGCGAGGAAGCTTATAAGATCAAGCTCCTCATTTTGGGACTCTTGATCAGGAAACATAATTGAAGCACGTACAATATTTATAAGAAGTAGAATCTGAACACAAGTAGGATATGAACCAAATCGTAGTTGTTGAAGATCGATGTTGATGTTATGTGCGAGAAAAGATCATGTCAACGCGAATGGTTGAGCAGGAAATTGGAGAAAGTCGAGAAACAACAATAGGTGAGAAGAGGTGAGAAGAGGTGAGAAGAGCAGGTTGAAGAGACCCTGACCCTTCCCGTCGTCAAATTTTGAAGACAACCAAATTATATGTATGATAAGTGGAAAATGACAATGTAAACAAAAAGAAATATTGTATTGTAATGACAATTTATCTTTGGCAGATGGATGGATGTGTAGGTATATACAACTACAGGTATTACAGATGTAACAGTTTTTCTTTCCTTGATCACATGAATTGTATTTGTCTCATTACCTTCATGTTATCGTCCTACCTAATGAGGCACATTTCCTCCTCCTTTTTAACCAATAAGAAAGCTTCAAAGGGGGTTTGAAACAAAATAGGAAAGAATAGTTGTCGGGACCGAAGAGATGCCGAACCTCCGATACCGACAACCCAACACCTCAAGAAATTGATCAAAAAACCAACATAACTTGAAGAATACAACAACATCAACACCCACCAGCCTTGTACAACCCATCGGAGAATTGACTTCAATTCTTTCCGTGATATCGAATTCTTCTCTTTTCCCGTATATTATGAATATATCACTTGATATTTTATATTGATACCATAAGAGGTCGATTTGTAGGAGTTCAAAAGCTTCAGCTTCATATTGAACTGACTATTGATCACGAATCTTTTGATCAGTGACATTTATTTATAGACACCCCACCCATTTCACACAATACATACCCCAGGATAGGACGAGTCAAGAATCTAAGAATCTATCTGCATCGTCAACTCATTATCGCATTTTTACCCCTTCATCACATCAATAGATACTGTACCGGTACCGATATACCTTCATTTTCTTACATCTTTATATCATTATCATCCTCATCATGGAATCATCTTCGCTACCTCCTCCTGGTCCGACAATACCACCTCTACTTCCACCTTCACTTCCACCACCTCCTCCACCACCTCCATCTCAGCCAATACACCAGAAGATAACTCGTGGTCATTCTTGTATCCTCTGTCAGCAGAGAAAAGTGCGATGCGATCGACAAAAACCACAATGTTCAAATTGTGTCAAAGCACATGCCGAATGCATTCCAAGTACACCTTCTGCTCCACGTCGTAGAAGACGTAAGCTTAGTGAATTGGATGTGGCGGCAAGATTGAGGAAATGTGAACATTTATTAAGGGTTAATGGAATTCGAATCGAGGATGAAAGTGCAAATGCAAGCGGCACCGAAGACGCAGGTGCTGATGAATCAGGTCCAAGTCGCCAAGAAAAGACGCCAATTCCACAAATTTTACCAAATAATAAAAGTAAAAAAGCTACTTTAGCAACCGGGACCAGGACCGACAGTACGAGTATTGAGAACCAACATGGGCCAAATAAACATCGATGGCACCACGGTCATCATGATTTACACCAGCATCATTCCATGTCTCATGGTCGTGGATCTAAAGCTGGAAAAGGTCAATTGTTTTCTAAGCACGGTAACTCTCGTTACGTAGAAAAGTACGTAGCTACTTGAGAAATCCCTTTGATCGCTAGGTGATTTGAATGTGGTAGCTATCTGAGAAGTCCCTTTGATCAATGGGGTGATTTGAAGGCAGTAGCTATCCGAGAAATCCCTTTTGATCGATAGATGATTTGAATGTGTTTGCTGACTATTTTTAGCACTATTTGGGAGAATCTCAGTAATGAGCTACAGGATCCAAAGGAAGCATTTCAAGTGTCATCAGAAGATGATGATAACAACCTTGATAATCCCCTCTTTCCCGAGGAATCAACCATTCTCCTTGGAAATTTGATTAGTTCACAAAGAAATTTGAGATCCCTTCATCCACAACCTGTTACTATTTTCAGATTATGGCAAATCTTCCTAACTAATGTGAATCCCTTGATTAAGCTTTTTCATGCTCCCACCGTTCAGGAAATGATCTTGGAAGCAACTTCAGATATGGATCATATACCCAAACCTACGGAAGCTTTGATGTTCGTTATATACCTCCTTTCTGTTGGGTCATTAAGAGATGATGAGTGTGAGAGTACTTTCAACGAATCAAGGGCGATACTTCTATCTAGATACTCTCATGCGACACAACAAGCTCTTATTAATGTTAAATACATCAAATCTCTCAATTTGACTGCCTTACAAGCTTATTGTCTATTCCTTGTGAGTCAATATTACTACATTCTGTCTGCTTTTGCTCAAATTATACACCTCATCTTCACCACCTTTTTTGGTATCGTTGCAATGAACCATGTACTTCTGAGACTGATTTCATATCAATAGCTTGCAGCTCGTAAACATTATGATGCTCATGCATTTTGGATCTTGACAGGTTCTGCTGTTCGAATCGGTCAAAGATTAGGTATTCATCGTGATGGATCTTCTCATAATTTATCCCCTTTCGATACGGAAATGAGAAGAAGAGTTTGGTGGCAGATCGTCTTCCTTGATGGTTTTGCTGCAAAATTAAGTGGAGCAGGATTTCCCGCCGTAAGTATATCTTCTCTCGATATCCATCAATTTTCACATATCACTTACATTGTGGATCAAAATTCTCTCGTCAATTTAATCGAGCTGTTCCTTCTCACCTCCATGCTGGGAGACTTTCACTGATCTTACATTACGTAGTGGTTAGCAAAATTTGATACAAAATTACCACTCAATGTTAGTGACAGCGATCTCACTCCAGATATGATAGAACCTCCACCTGAGCGAGCCGGAGCAACTGAAATGCTTTTCTGCTGTATTCGGTATGAAGTTTCGGAAGCTATTCGAAAAGCCAATAGCTTTGGTCATGGACATGGGGGCGGTCATGGCGGTGGTCATGGCGGCCGTGGTGGACGTGGTGGCAATCGGGGTAGTGGTGGTGGTGATCCATCACATATTCCTGTGGGTTCAAACATTATTGCTGAAAAGGACAAGACAATCGATGAATTGGAGGCTAGACTTCAAGATAAGTATCTACAATACTGTGATCCATCGATACCTTTACATTTACTCTCGATATATGTTGCCAGGTCGGTGATATGTACGATGAGATTGACAGCCCATCACCCACGACAATATCCCGACAAAGGTGCGAGCATGCCACAGAATGAAAGAGATATGCTTTTCAACGAATCATTAAAGATGCTTGAATATGATGTCCTAGGTCATTCCGAAAAGCTGGTTCAAAGATATCTTTGGCATATTCATGTACACTTTCAATTAGATGCATTCATATATCTACTCAGTGAGCTTCGACGCAGAGAAAGAGGGGAATTGGTCGATAAAGCATGGCACCATGTCGAATTGGCATATGAATTCCGTTCCGAAATGCTCAATGATACGAAAAATAGCCTTCATTTCGCATTGGGTAATTTGGTCCTCAAAGCCTGGGAGAAAAGAGAAGAAGGTGAACATGAACATTCACATGATCATGTCGTCCCTCCAAGATTCATATCAATACTACGTTCTCAGAGACATAAACATGATCATGTTCACGATCAAGTTCACGATCAAGCTCACGATCGAGTGGAAAGATCGATAGAACAAGAACAACAAGAACAACATGATGATTCTCACAATAATGTCGCAGATCCCTTCCGAACCGTCCATCGCTGGCAAATGCCTGGAACAGGTACGGCGGAATCTTATGTGAGGCAAAAACCTCCGGATTATATACCGACACATCAACATTCATATTCACAATCACATTCACAACCACAATCACAATCACAACAAGGACCAGCACCGGCAATGCACATGCACATGCACATACCAATGCATATGCAAACGCAAATGCAAAACCCCCAAGAACAAGAACAAGAACAAGAACCACCATGGCTCGCATCGGATTCATTCCTCGATACATCGATGCCGGATATTACACCGCTGGATTGGGAATATTGGCAGATGTTGTTGGATGGGGATTTGCCGGCTTATACTGATACTGGGAATGGGAATGGTCAGGCGGGTGGTGGTTATGGTGGTTATGGGGGGGGATTGGTAGGTGGTGGTTGGTGGTGGTGTAGGGATGTGTAGGGATGGGGATGTGAAATGTACAAGAATATATAGAATATATAGAATAATGAGATGGGGTATATTATGATATTGTGTCATGTCAATGGTTGATTGTATTGATTGTATTGTATTGTATTGTATACCTATACTGCAAACCCACGATTCCATTCCATACTCCCAGAATCTTTTTCTCTTTTCTTTCACAAACATCCAATCCAACAATCAAAGAATTAGCATCAAGAGATGACTCTCGTCATGAATTTTCTATCTTCCAGCTACTTTGCTTGTGGTTATCTTTTGTTGTCTTGTATTATACGAGTAATTTCGTTTAGGTATAGTAAATGCTAGTGGTAATTGACTACCAGATATTCAAAAGCCTGAAATCAATTGATATATGTAGGGCCTATACGATGTTGTAATACCGAGAAGTTCAAGAACGATAGATATGTACCTACAATACTCGAGTACTCGAGTATTAACTTCCGAGGTTTCTCCATGAAATACCGTGACATATCAACAAACCCTCACCAAATGCAATAATTTTCATCATATCATACCAATTGCAAAACAATACAACCCATCTGCATCTCCATATCCATTCCATCCCATCCCATCCTCCGTCCCTTCGAAACCTTAAAAGAACTTTGTTATATATCGTCTGTACATTGTACATCTGTACAGATGGATATTCAACCCATGTTCTTGATTATGAAACCTACGATGTTTGAAGGTTGTCGGAGTTGATACACTTCCGTGCTTCATGATTCTCGCTTAACCTTATTTGCTTACAAATTTATAATGCCATGGAATGGGCGGATATGATCGAGGCCGTGAGAGGGACATGGATTTGTGAGAGGAGTAGAGAAATGTATTCTTTCTTTTTAATGTTAGTTTGAGTATGGTATGTTGTGTTTTGTTGAGAATGAGATAGAACGGTAACGGTTATGTTGATGGAGAGATACATAGTACAGTACAGAAGTACTGCACGATTGATGAAGATACTAGGTACCTATCTATACCTTCATCGGTTGGGTTCGAACCCCCTGTTATGTACTCGAGTACCGGTATGCGAAGTTTCGCAGACGTCGCTTGCACAGCCCTACATATATTGCAGTAGCTAACCTTACCCCGATCGTCTCAATTTATTTAACTTTCAAGCATGACATCCTCCATACATCCGAACATGATACACAACACCATCTCAACTCCATAAAGTTACATGTCAACCATCCACTCCTGTCATCTTATCTCAATCATCATCCGTACTTTTCTTTTTGTTCCCACCCCCAAAAAACCTAACCCGGGAACCCCTGAAGTTTTAAAACCCCCTTCCCCAAACACCTCACTGTCATATTCGTTACAGCCACAACCCCAACCTTCATCTGACCTTGAAGAATCATGGATGAACGAACTGTACATGAGTGTCACCAAAGCTGGAACATTCATGACAAGCATATGGAAGATCATTCATTAACCGTTTTTGCTTAATTATGCCTTCAATCCTATCCTCCTCGTTTTCGGTTCTTACTTTTGACATTCATCTCTTGGCTTTTTACTTTGTCTACTGTCTACTGTTTTCTTCTCTCTTCATTCTCTTCTGTTTTTCAACCACTATCATTTGAAAATCTATACGTATTCTTTAATTGTTCTGTCGGCAAGTACGATATACATACTCTACATCTGTCATTCTCAAGCGCCAGTCGCCATTAATCTATTTCTACAACTTTTGAACGAGCTCACATTTTCGTTCTATAAATTTCAATTAAACTTATACAGTCGTTTTTGATCTTCAAAATAACCTTCACCAAAATGCATTTCACACCAACTCTTCTCCTCTCCGCCTTGAGCATCAGCAGTGTCCTTGGTAAGTCCTCCCTCCCTCACTCCATCCATCCATCACCAAAATCCCACTCCAAACCAAAAACTAACCCTTCCCTCCCTCTCCCTCCAGCCGCAGCCAACACAACCAAAGCCCCAACCACAAGCACAACCACACACGTAGTACGTGTCGGCTCCAGCACCAACAACAGCGTAAAATATTTCCCCGACAACATCACCGCCGCCGTCGGCGACGTAATCCAATTCCAATTTGCCGCTGGCAACCACACGGTCACACAATCCACTTTTGACGCTCCATGCGTACCCATTAGTCAAAGTTCCAATACAACCGGTGTCTACAGCGGATTCATGGATGTTGGTGCTGGGGGGAAAGCTACTGGTATGGTGCCTGTGTTTAGTATGATGGTTAAGGCCAAGACTCCTATGTGGTTTTATTGTAGTCAGGCGAAACATTGTCAGAAGGGGATGGTTTTGGTGGTTAATGAGAAGTAAGTTGTGATTTGGTTTGGTTTTATCTCTGATATACACTACATGAAGGAAAGGAAATGAAAAGAAATGAATACTAACATCTTCTCCCCTCCTTCCAGCACAAAAGCAAACACAAGCCGCTCCCTAGCCAATTACGTCGCATTAGCAGAAAAAGCCCCCGCGAATCTAGCCCCATCACTTGATGGCTCTACCTCCTCCACCTCAGGTTCCTCGTCAGGTTCATCAGGTTCATCAGGTTCATCAGGTTCATCAGGTTCCTCAGATTCCTCCAGCACAGCCCCATCCTCCTCCTCCTCCTCCTCGTCAGGAAGTAACAGCGGGGAATCATCTGGATCTGGATCTGGAACGGCTGATGGAAAGGCATCGACATCTACTTCAACTTCAGTGGCGACTGCGACTGCGAATGCGGCGTCGAGCTTGAGTGTTAAAGGGCTGGGTGCGATGGGATATGTCGGGATGCTGGGCGCGGGATTTTGGGCTTGGTTGTAGAGTGGGTGTGGTGATAGAGATTGTATTTTGGGAAGGGAAATGGTTGGTGTAGGTTGTGGAGAGGTTTAATGGGGGTGTATATGATGCGTGGCTTCTGATTAGGGTGGATTGGATTGCATCAAGTCTAGATAGGAGAAGGAGGAAAGAGATGATTTGTTAATATACTATCTTATCATGTCATGCATATATATATGCATTATACCGCGATCCTGTAGACGGGAAGCGATGATGGCGTACAAAGAGTTTATTTTATTTTTCGTTTGAATCCGCTGGGGGTGGAGTTGGAGGTGGGCTGAATGAATGAATAAATTGAATGAATTACAATGAATTACAATCATTACAATAATTACAATGAATTGAATGAATATGCAATATAGCAACTCCATAGCCCCAGCATCTCACTGTATGTACTCCAGAGAACACCGGATATCCCATCCCCTATAATATACCCCTCGCCGGTTATAACACCCCTTCCACCCTCAAAAATCCAACAATAACTGCGGCGCCATCTTCTCCAAATCCTCTACCTACATCCCCAAAACACAAAAGGTCAGCACTCAATCCCATCAATTCCCTAAATTCCAATCCAATATTTTCCTCTTCTTTCCTCCCCTCACCCTTCCCCAACTCTATACCTTAAACACAAGCAATAAAATAGAATAAAATAAAACTCACCTCCCAAAAACCCCCTCCCCTCCCACTTCTCCCCTCCGCATATCTCACTCTCGCCACCGCCTCCCGCACAAAAGTATCTATATATTTACCCATAGCTTTATTTGCCTCTTTCGAAATACGCGTATTGGGTTCTGAGGATAGTTCATGCATGATTTTAGTTAGAAGGTCACTAGGGATGGTGGCGCGAGCGATTTCTTGTTCTGGTTCGGAATCTTGGTCTTGGTCTTGGTGTTGCGTTTGGGTTTTGGCGGCTGTGCCTGCAGATTTGTTGCGCGAAGGAGGTGAGCTGATAATTTGTACTTCGGAGTCGGAGGAGGATGCGGCATCATGGTTTGTATGGGGTTTAGAGGCGGGTTTGGAGGTGGATTTGGATTTGGAGGTCGAGGGGTGGGATTTAGATGCGGGTTGTGATGCGAAGGGATCGTCGCTTTCTTCATCGTCGTCCATGTTTTCGTTTTCGTTTTCGTCTTCGAGTTGTGGGGTTGGAGTTTTGGAGACGCGCTGTTTCTTGGCGGCAGGAGCTGAAGTTTTGGTGTTGGGTTTTGGTTTTGGTTTTGGTTTGGATGTAGTGGTGGTAGTTGAGGCTTTGGGGCGTCCGCGGGGTTTGGATGGACCAGGTTTTGAGGAACGGGGTGGGTTGAAGGGTTTGGGGGGCATGATTGGAGAGGCGGATGGGGATTGAAGTGAGTAATTGGGTTGATGGGTGAATCACTGGTTGCCTGTTTATTTTGTGTGGTATTTGAAGCTGTAGCAGAGAGACGCGACGCGTTTAATTGGTAAATGTAACGTTGACATGTGATTCGACAAACTACGGTGACCCATTTGTTATCTTATGCTTTCACCATAACCGGAATTCCCCTTTTGGAAAAATCCTCCACAGACAACTATCACTGGCTTATCTACTAGTTCTCAGATGACTCACACATAGAATATAATTCATTTTTTACTCGACATTGACAGTCAACCTGGTCTATTCACCGACTCGTACGAGTGTACTGTTTGCGAGGGCTGTTCTAGAAATCAAGCTTCCGTGACAGTCTGACAGGATCAGTAGGGAAAGGTTTTCAATGCAAGAGCAAAGACAGTAGATGAGGACCACGCAGTGCTACTATCGTGAGACTGAAAGTTCAGGGCTCGTCTTATAAACTTATTATTCTATTCACAATCCTCTCATGTCGCCTCCTACGGGGTGGGGTGTATACCAATTTGCAAGACCTTACAAAGATATGTGGAACGTTTTCATGCTCCAGCACAGCAATGGTTGTCCCAGATTCTGGGAATTCTGGAGGTCTCTAGTGAGAACTCTTTAGATTCTCCAGGGAACCCAAGCTGATATTGCCAATATGGTTAGCTTGGGGCTATTTGGGAATAAATACAATATTAATGCTCTTGAATTTTTATTGATTCAAGCGAATCATTTTAACACTATCGAAAAGTCCTCGACGAAGGATAAACTCCGATGAGCAGCCCAGGCAGGGTAGAATTTGTAGTTCATCGCCCAGTAGGACATGCCTCGGTGTTAAATGTTGTAGATCGAAACATAGATTCATCATCATCTGATCTATCAAATTAGATAACTTCAAAGTTTGAACTATCTCTTCATTCAGTAGTATGCCACCCTGCGCGTACAAGTGTTCCAAATTTCTCGGTCTATAGTATAAATGCTCTCTAGAGTACTTCATACAAATCTTTCACTCCTAAATCAAATGCAGCGGAACTCCTCCGCATGTATGTGATCGAACGCTCTCAAGAGCCCAATCATATGTGCCAATCCCGCAAATATCACCATGAAATGGAGAATTTGATGACTAGAACCCAGAATATCGTATCTCCGTGGGAACCATTTCTCCGGTATCTATATTATCATTAGCTTTGTTCAGATCAGGGTATCCAATAGTCCAGACTGCAGTCCAACCATAAGATAGTCTTAATTCCTGAATATATCTCAAACATTATTGTTTTCAGAGATTGAAAATATTTCGAACAATGAAATCTCTCTAATTTGACTACAGTCCGGACTTATTGGATACCCTGCTTATTCTTCATTTCTTACTCGAAAGAAAACACTCACTCTAATAGCATACGAGAATGCACCCAATAGGTTTAACGCTGTCATATATCCCATCCAATCTAAACTCATTCTATAATTCTGCGTTTCATATCCATGCAACATAATACCGTGTACGATGAATATGATGGAAGATAGCCCTAAACAGCTATACATCACAGCTCTATAAGGACGAAGACCTGGGTGGCGAAACTTTGGATGGAGAGTTACGATTGCGCAAGCTGTCGCCAGACAGGTAATATGTTGGTCATTAGAAATATTCGGATTCATCTAGTAGGGATCGGTCTTTACTATTGTCCAATATATCTTCTGAATCGCGGGGTCAAAATGAAATCCATAATACACGGTTGGAACCGTGGATCCCCACATTAAAATTACAATACCCAGATAATCCAGCTGATTACCCAGTGCATGAACTCTCTCGCTGTGATTCGCTACAATATGGAAACTGGACGAGTACTTAGTCTAAAGGCAATAGAGGGAAAATATATACCATACGTAGCCGATAGCAGGAAACAAATAGCTACTCCGAAAAAGAAAGTCAAAAATACAATAATATCTGCCATCGCCGCAGTAGCATAGCGAGGAGCGATTTTTCTATAGAGAAGGAATGGAAGTGTAGCGAAGAGAACTGCGCCGAATAGGTGAGAATAGATATTGACTAGACGGGTTGATTCTGATCAGTTGTGGCTTGATTGCTCGGAAAGATATGTTTTACTTGTCTCGTTGTGTACATGACCCAAGCTCCCGAGAGACTTCAGGAGAGAGTCGGATGTAGGTCTGCGTTTTGTTAGTGATTTTCTGGTACTTTCGGGGTATGTGGGAGAGAGAGTACCGATATCCAGATAATATGTATTCATTGTCCCTAAAAGTCAGGGTCTTTAGCTTTCAGACCAATAGGTTCAATGTACTCGAGTATGAAAGGGTCGATGTTCCAAGTGGATACAATGTGCCAACCAATTTCAAAGATCGGTTAAGTCTCAAACAATTATAATATTTAAATATGTACTTTCGAAGATCAGGAAACTTACTGCTGCCAATGACCTTTGGAACACGGTTAGTCACCAAGAAAGGAACAGGAATTTTTCAAAATATATACAAATCTCATCCCATTCTAGCAAATGATATCCAGCAATTTTGTCAGTTAGCATTCCCCCACTCCGTTGTCTCGACAATTTGTCAACATCTGGCTGATCTTTTACAGCTTTGTTGATGCTTAACGGCATTTCCTCAGAATGCTGAACTGATCTTGCGGACATGCCTGGTGATTGTAGCGTGATGAATCGAGTTGAAAATGGGGAATCGCTTAATGTAACAAGTGGTTAATAAATTCTATTAAATTGTATGATTTGTATCGGAGGAATCCAATATAGTAATACTTTTATCCAAAATACACAACAACAAGATCAGCGGCTGGAGGGTGAATCACATACAGCGCGTATATAAGAGTAATTAGAAGGAAGCGGGCGTACGCGCTTCCCCATCCTTCAGACCCCCATTTTCGAGTGTGGAAAAAGGTACTGCTCAAGGATCAAATCCAGTCTGTCTTCTCACTTGGGCAGATCTGAGAATTGTATCCAAGATGGTGGATCGGTAGTGTTGACTATACGAGTAGTAAAGACTCTTTGGTTTGAGAAGATACTGGTATCTTCTTTTTTAAATGTGTGCGGCTACGGTGCTGGAAATTCTTGATGTTTTTTAGTTGTCATTTGTTTGATCAGGCGTGGGCTGTTTTAGATCGCTGTTGGATATTTTAAGTCATATCGTATAGTCGGCGGTGTTGGCGTTTTCACCTCATCATTAGTACATATAAGAAAACATATATTACTTTTTCTGTCATTCTATGCCCTCATCTTAATTGTCTGGCATGTCTAATCATATTGGACTTATTCACTTCTTACACTGTGCTTCGTGGCGTTGCCTTGGGCCTGTGACAGGCTCTGCATATACTAGGTTGCAATGAAAGAAAATTTGAGCGGTATTGGAAGTGCTTATATACTAGGAAACTTGAGCCTGGTTACCTTGCTAAAACTCAATAATTGGAAGACGGAAGTGCTTCTGCGGTCAATTGTGTTATTCATTCATATGACTCGACCGATTCTTGATTTCTTCTTCGTACAATTACATCTCGTTTAAGCTACCACATCCTTCTATAAAATACATCAAAACCCGAACCTCTTCTTAGTTCATATTTACGAGAACCACATGGCCAAGAAGAATCTAGGCTGGAAAATTCTAGCTTTGTCGATGACAAGATGATTCAGTGATGCGGAGGAAAGTGAAAACGGAAGTTAGCAGAAGATGTCAACAATCTGTGAACCGTTTTTGCCATGGTTTATTCAGCGCTGTTTTTCGTTTATACAGTCATTTGCTTTTGGTTTTTGATTGTCACCACATGGAGTTATTGTTGCTATCTTTATCCTTGATTGAAATGTATTTCACAGATCGGTCAGATTATTGAGTTAAACCATTTGATATCATCATTTTCGTGCATAAACTGATCCCCGATACAAAAAAAGAAACCCGCTCCTCTCCTAAGCACCATCAAAGACCAAAAGGCTCTGAATACTGACTCCTCCGAAGCCCCGCTGACGCAACATGGCCCGGCCTCGATGAATTGGAAACTCGGCAACGACCATGACGCTGAGATCCTCAACACAAACACCAACCTTAATTAACAACTGTAGCACCGCACAGAGCGTCTCGCCTGTGGCAAGTACATCGTCTACTATCACTACCGAGTCACCTTTGCGAACCACATCTTGATTCATTTCAAATTTCTCTTCTTCCAAATCAATGGATTCAGTAGACGAAACATGCGATGGAGATTTCACGACGGAAACGGTAGGTTGCGGGAGCTTGCCAGGTTTTCGAATCAGCGCCAAGGGCACATCAACCTGCACCCCCAAAGATGATGCAAATACATAACCGCCAGCCTCGCAACAGGCCAATGCATCGACTTTGGCCCAATCACCGTTGAAATGAGCTTGCAGCAGAGACGTGCACAGGTTTAATCCACCTGGCTGCTGGGAGATGTCAAGCACATGACGGAAATCGATGCCCGCTCGCGGATGATTGGGTACCACAGGTACCATACTGGCTAGTCGATTTAAGTCCTCATGTAAAAATGGAAGCAGATACCGTCTGGCAAATGCTTCTGCCGCCTCTTTTCCAGTTTGTTCATTTTCGAACATGAGATTGGGGCGATAATGTAAGGTTGTCGAATTCAACTCATTATCATTGTTCATATATTTACTGTCATCAACATGGCCATCACCCTCATCATTCCCCTTACGAATCCCACGCAGCCTTTGACTAGCTTTGACGTGGACGTCGAGAAGTCTGCTGTTTGATACTAAATGCGAGAAGATTGCGACTGGCGCTTCGTCTCTCATTCCAGTGATCAGCAACACGTCAATATCTGCAGCATCATGAATGATACTTTGAAAGTGTTCCATCGGTAAGTTAGGTCTTTGACGCATCTGATCCTGAAAGAATGTTGTCAACCTTGGCCGGTGTTGCTCCTTGTAGGCGCGATCCCGAAGAAGCCGATTTATATCTGCGCCAGTAGCTTTTGCATATTCTCGCTTAGTGCCATCGCTGATACTAACCGAACGTGTCGTGAGTTTCTTCTGGGTGTATGTGGTAATTGTGGAGACCCAGATATCGGCGCAATAATCCTTACCGGCTGCGCTATCGCCTGTGACCAGAATGATGAGTTTCTGTTTCCTTGGCGGCTCGAGAAGCGGGCAGGCATAAGCAATTATATTACACGGGTCTAAGCTGCGCTTGAGACGAGCCAGACGCGGCAAGTTTGGTCCAAAAGCTACAGCCGCCAGTGCGGTGTCCCTAGGGTCTGGTCCGAGATCGGCACCGTAGACTCCGCTACAAAAGGGCAACAGGTCTCTCGCGACATGATAAACCCACTGTACGGCAGTTCGAGCTGCGTTTGTTTCATTCTGGTCGCGGGGCCAAACACCAGTAACGATGCAGGCAAAATCCCAATCGCGACATCCAAAAGCAGTGGCTTCGGCGGCTTCGTCGGTAATTGCTCCGCCACCGTGCAACAGATGGAGATAGCAGATTGGCGAAGGACGAGACTGAATCGCCGCTACCAAACGATCAGCGATATGCACCTCTCCGATATTTTTCAAGAAGAAGCATCGCTTAAACGAGGAGGTTTTGCCGCCGCCGTTTCCATTGTGCATCCCAGACATGTACATTTCAGTGTCGAACAAACCGACACCGTCAACAGTATAGGATATGTTTTCGGGCCCCAATAATTTGGCTACACGCGTGAAAGTTTTTATATCCGGGTCAGTTGTAGAAGATTCGAAGATGCTGACCCCAAGATGCAACTGCTCGACGTTCCAATAGAGATATGCGTCTGCACACCAGTTTCGAGGAAGTTCCCTGGTAATGGATTTGTCGAAATCATTGAGCTTGAGCTGCGCCTCGGTGTTATCCTTGAGTGGAAAGACCCAGTTTCTCATCGAATACGTTCGAGCCGCGTGAGCCTTGAAAGCAACGCTTACAACGATACCAATGTTGGTTCCAGCACCTCTAATTGCCCACAAAAGATCGATCTCATTTTCGGGGCGGACAGCAGCAGCCGGAACATGCTGTGTTGGTACGCATCCGACGTGAAGAATCTGACCGGAGTCAGCGCTGACCATAACAGCGCCTATGATGTTGTCACATGTGAGCCCGTGAAGCCTAGATAAGTGACCAATGCCGCCTTGTAGCCACAACCCCGCGCCCACACTTGGTCGGGACCCTAGGGGTACTGTCAGATCCGATGCCATGGCCTTACGGACGATATCGTCTGTCTTGCATCCGGTCTCAGCTACAATACAAGAATCAGAATCAGTACAAGAATCAAAATTTCTTGCATCCTGACTAGAGGTGACGATGTGTATCTGGTCAAAGGCGCTCATGTCGACCGATACGACGTTCGGCCAGATACAATGACCACTATGCCCCCCACCAATAACGGTAAGTCCAACCTTATGCTTCAAAGCCCATTGAATGCATTGCTGGATGTGCTGGATACTTGTTGGCCTGACGATTAATGCAGGTTGGTGCAAGCGAGCTTCCCAGCTTTTAATCGTTTTGTCCTTGTTCGCCAATAGCACCTTTGCTGTGAGATCAGGTAACGCAATCGCATGTCGAGTGAATGACACCATACGTTGAGGCGAGCTGAACAAGAGACGACCTGGACGCGTTTGATCATGGCAAGCCAAGGCGCGACATATTTTGATCCACTCGCTTCGGACAGCCTTGTCGAGCTCTACATCCTGCATAACGAAACCCGCGATGAATGGAGCAAAATTATCCAGAGTCTTGTCGTCGTCTGCCACAGTGACAGTCCCAGTAGGAAAAATAGCCGTACTATCGCAAGCCAATCCGCCAAGATCAAGATCTTCGTCGCGGTGGAAAACTACCACTATTCCATCCTCTGGAGATTGAACAAGCAGTTCTAATGCTCGTCGGATAAACGCATATTTCGGCTTCATACCATACATGCTATGACAGAAAAGAATGACGTCGAACTTTTCCTCGCCATGACTTGTATCAGTCTGGGTAGCGTCCTTTGCGCCGCTGTTCAGATCGAAGGGAGCGTTATAGATCCTGGGGGAGCTGTCCAAACATGGCAGCGGGGAATCTGCTGCGGAAGAAGTGCGAAACCATTCTTGCAATCTTGTAGCAGACAACTCATTCGGCTCGAATGCAGCATAACTTCTAAACTTTCTTCTCAGAAATATAGGGAGATGACCAAGCACACTCTTGGACCCGGGTCCAATCTCTAGCACCGAAAGATTGATACGCGAACTCAAGAGAGGCTTTAGAAGCTCAGATAGTTGGGGAATGATGAAGTCTTCGTAAGACATCCATTCTGAGCCATGCATCATTATATCGAAACTGGCATTGTACTGTGTGTCGCACAATGGTTGCTTCGGGGATTTCGTCTGTCTCGTGGCTTCCTCTCTGAGAGCTCGCTTCAAAAAATCGAGAGTGGCCATGTTGATTTGGCTTGAGTAACAAAGATGTGTGGCTGGCAGCAGTTGGTGATAGTACGAAGCTGTTTGAGCTTTCTGATGGTTCAGCCGACAAGGTAGATGAGTTCTTCAGGTAATGTGGTATTCACCCTAATTGTAGTGAAAATTTAGTTATGATCTGATCGCTAGGAAAACTATCCACTCGGTTGATCACAGAATCAAAGTGAATACCGGTATGGGAAAGTGAAATAGCCACAGTATATAGCCAATCACCACAAACAAGGAGCTCTAAAACCAGCGGCTAGACAGCCCATTGCCTAAAGCTGACCTTGAAAAAAGATACAGTGGAACTCACAGCAGTATGTTTGTGGAAACAACAAACTTGTATTCACTCATAAATAGTTCGCAATCCACAAACTTTGCAGGATAGATGGCTCAAATCCATTCGTTTCGTGGAAGTATTGGCCAATTTCTTTGAATCGAAGTCATTCTATAATAATCAAAAGAAATAAATATGTGTGACACTGATATGTTGATTGCTTACAATTCTGTGTACAGCTTTCTACCGGTGCAGTGGCTGCCCATATTTGTTGTTCCTGCATGGCTTGGGTAACCGGTACTCAAGTGGCGTGACAGAAATCAAACGGAAAGCAAACGGAATTACTGGGCAATCTAATGAAGGTATGTTTCATACACTGAAAAAACGTTGTTCAGCAAGGAATGATTTCATATTTTATGAGGAGCCATCAAGGTTCAACTCATTTGAGAGATTCACTTCATTTGAAAGTTCGATACATCTGGGAGATTCTATTTATTTGAATACAGAGCTTTGTCTAAAACACCGGATATACAGAGATCTGAACTCGCTTCCCAGCATTTGGTGTTACTATCATAATAACGGTGTGTGACATACAGATCTCATTGGTCATTTTTAGAATCTTGGAGTTTTGTAATATCGAGTTTTACTCGGGAACATTAGATTACGAAACAGTACAAACGCACTTAGTGATCCTCTAATTCGTCTTCTGCTCAATGCAAGCTAAGCTTACTTTCTCAGGCCGAGTAGAGTATGAAAATGTTGCTGTTGCGTCTGGCCATCTTTCAACAAGCCTGTCATACTTTGGGTCATTGTCGTAGTCCCTGTCTTCTGTACACCCCTCATCACCATGCACATATGCGTACACTCCATAACCACTGCAACACCTAATGGACTCAAAGCCTCCTGTATTGCAGCTGAAATTTCCTTCGTCAAGCGTTCCTGCACCTGCAGTCTGCGTGCAAAACACTCAACTATCCGCACCAGTTTCGACAATCCGAGCACCCGACCGTTTGGGATGTACCCAATATGGACCTTGTATTTCCAATCTTGTTAGTGTTTGAAAGTATGGAGTGTTGGTTGGGGAGTAGGACCTACCTTTCCAGTGAACGGCAGCATATGATGTTCACACATGCTGCATACATCAATGTCACGTAGGATGACAATTTCTTGAGTATTCTCAGTAAAAATGGCATCATTAACGATCTCCTCTATCGTTTCCGTGTATCCCCTGGTGAGAAACAGGAGCGCTTTAGCGTATCGGTCGGGTGTCTTTATAAGGCCTTCACGGCCTGGATCTTCATTGATTTGACACAGAATTTTGCGGACTGCGGCTGCAATCTCAGTTTGAGGAGTCGATGGGGCTAAATCATCTACCATATGGTCAGACTGTGGTTGCTGGACGAGCTCTGGGTGTGAAGTATCGATAGCTGATTATCGATTTAAATCATACACAAATGTTTGCGAGTAGAATCGAGGGCATGCTCACCTAGCTCACGAATGTCTTGATCATGATTTCCATCCATGTGAATATCCTTCGCCAATTGAGAATCAGAGCTAATATCATTCCCGTCGGCGAGAGCTTCGGGAACGGAAGCAGACTTAGCAGACATCATATGTAGTTTGAGATTGTTCCCAAGTCTTGCAGTGTGGAATGCAATGGGAAAGGTTAGTGAAAGTCGACTTGGTCTTTTTGAGGTATAGGGAAGTACAATGAATGAGTCGAGCGGTCGGTTTGCAGGGAAGTTGACTCTGCTAGAATCGATTCAACAGAGGCACGATCGATAAAAGTTGTTCGAGTGTGGATCATACTTCATGATGAGAGGGTAGAAGATCTTTAATAGAACGCTGTGATCGCTGTTTGCCGTTTGTGTAGGAAACTGCAGTACTCAACCACCTGTGGCTCTTATGCAGTATCAAGGTTTGCAGTAGGTCCTATGCATCCTCTTCTCGGCCACCGAGAAGAATGGCCGATGCCGATACTATTACTTGGTTTTCCTTAACAGAATTGACTGTACAAACCGTGTCAAGATTCATAATATACGTTTGTAACTTTTTGCTGAAATAGGGGTTTGAATGGAAGACTCAATATTATCGTTATAAAGACAGATTTCTTCCCCTGCAAACCTCTGATTTCCTCAAGCAATCAAGGACATTGAAACGTTAGACACATTTTATTTTTCGCTAGTGAAGATCTCTCCTCGCAACAATAAGGCCGTGTCGGCTTTTGTAGGCTTAAAACTAGTTGAATAATAATTAGCTCATGTCACGGTTAACAATTGGTTCGCTTAATTATCTGAATATCTCATAATATCCATGTCATTTGGATCTTCATTCGTTTCAGTTCTCTTTCAAGCATACTCGAGTATATCAAAATATTTATTAATTAAGACTTGAAGTTCTTCCTAAATACCATCTATATTATACACATTCGCAATATTGTTATCTACTCCGATAATCTCGCTCACGAACTCCATCTTTGAGTTATTTTCCAAATATTCCAAGAAACAGGCTCACAATGTAACTTGTCAAAGAAGATTCAACTTCTGTCAGACTAAAGTCAGATATCTAAAGGCAATAATTACAGTAGTAGTTAGAGTTATAGTCTGAATGAGAATCCATGGATAATTGAAGCTCTGAAACTACTGCTAATTGCGTGGCTTGATATCAATCTCAAATAATTACTATATTTCTTAAATTCCCATACTTGTGTTAATTATATCTCTATCAACCCCAAGCAACTAGCGAAGTATAAAGCCTACACCCAGACTCTCCACTCAGCTTCCTATCTCCAAAGATTAAGACTTCAGCAACATTTTTTGGGTCAGGAAAACCAATTCCAGAATTGAAGTTCTGCAAATGGATGTTTGCCTTTACACAAATGGATTATGGAGAGAATTTAATAGAAAGGAAGAAATGGAGAAACTAGATAATTACTGTTGGTGATGTGGAACTATAGCTTGTTAGTTAGTGTGACATGTTAAGAAATTGCTATTAGGATACTTTTATCGTCATCAACCGAGTGGATTATTATTGTAGAGAGAGTATTATAGCTCGTCTTACTCCCCGATAACTTAACTCTTATATCCCGAATTATAAAAGCCCAGTAGTTTTTCTTCTAGGGAAATGGTCGCTCCCGTCTTTTGTGTTACAGGCTAGTGAGAATGATGACTAGGGGAGTAGATGGATCGATGAGTAATTCAGGTTATCTGTTCCTGGATGCGATTTAAATTCTCAAAGTCCGTAGTGACTTCTGGAAAGAAGAAAGCTTTCTAGGAACAGAGAATGGAAATAAAATGTCAAGGAAATGGATTTATAGAAGGAGTTATTATTGTTATTGAGATATTGCACCCGTCTCTAATTGTCTTTGATTTGAGTATTATCATCAAAAGTCAGTATATCTCCACCGCCAATATCTCAACTCTCAGTATCCACCTCAGCACGTCTACTTCTTTTCTCGAAATATGTACTCAGTACTCGTATATCTCCTGTAACTACATAAGACCATATACCTATCTAAAAAGACTCGGATAGTTCCGCCGATCCATGTACCTGGCGTAACACCAGTCTTAAAAAAAAATCCATATGGAGAAAGATAGGAGTATAGAAAGGAGATGGTGAATTTGAGTGAATAAATAGTTGAAGGTCTATATAACGTCTCCTATACTCCCTCGATCTATCAATGTAAAGAAAAGTATCTAAGCCATATCCTCTGCATCTATTCTTACTATTTAGAACAAGGGAGTGCAATCACATTTCATAGAGCAGTGATGTAGTACAATCTAACTCATAACATTACAGATCCATAGTTATCAGGCTAATTTCTTTGAAAGAGAAGAGGGAAGACAAAACTCCGAGGACAAGATAATAAAATAATGATAAACAATCAAATTGCTATTATCATCATCATTCAGCAGAATATCATTACCACCGAATAATCCCATCACAGTCATTATTATCCCAACCCACTCATTCATTGCCTTCTATAAACCCCAACCACATTCATCCACCATAATCCGCAACTACAATGGTACCGGTTCTCTGGGAAGCACTGCTTTCGCAGGAATCTTGACGGCTCCATTGGGCTTCCCATGAATTTCACACATTTATAGTAAAAAGAGTCCCAGAAATGAGCCTCAACATTATATAAGAAGACGAATAAGACAAAGAGGGCAGGCACCTCGACTGCTATTCTAATGATAAGACTATCCTCTTTCTCATTCTATATCTTCCATCGATCAGAATAAAGTATCGGGGAGTCAAGAAATGGTGTCAACTCGGGGGTGAAAAGCTCGATGTTGGATATTTTAGAGTGTGGGCTCTTGGGCTGCTCTTTCTATCCCATTCTCACATTGTATCTTACGAAACGGGTGGAAGAAAGGGAGAGAGGACTGAATATAGAATATAGACGGGGTCAATTTTGTTATTTTATGATTCAAATTGTATTTTTCCAAATATATCTCTTCATCATCGTCATTATCATCATCATTGCTAGTTCCGTTCTCGTTATATATTGTGGCTGGAGTACCCTCCCCAATCCTGAACTAACCATTAGAGCAATGACTCACCAAGTTTCCTTGTCTACAAAACTTTCAATATCATTCCTATCAAAAAAAAGAATTCACTATATCACCTATGAGTCCCAATTATCTGGTTTCCATAATAGTTATAGAGAGAAAGGGGCGTGGAGGTTTATTAGACGAGATTGTTTTATGTCACATAAACATAATACTCAAAACTAGAAGGGAAAATGAGAAAAGGAAAAGCAATATTGTATCTAGGGGAAACATTAGACAAGCCCTAGGTAATGACTCAGTAAGCCCAAAACTCTCAATAGCTTTTGTCTAATCACATCTTCTTTTTCTAGATAGACCACTATATAAATATATATAATCCCTTACCCCTTCTTCTTAACTCTATATCTTTCAAGCTACAATTTACCGCGGAAATTGCAATAAAGAGCTGAAATTATATAATTATTAGTGTGTATAATTTTTCTTGTATATTCATTCCACTTTATTCGAGTAAAATGAGAAGTATCTTGTAAAGGGAATACAAGCCCGAAAAAGTAAAGAAAAACTAGTAATAAGAAGAACCTTTTCTCTCTTTAATTTTTATCGTTTTGGTCCTACTAGTAGATATGTATCGTCGTCGCCATTACAGATAACTAAAATCTTCCCTCGAACTAGCTCGGAATTACTCACACCTCCTCGAGAACTTCTCCCACAAGATGATTGCCGAACAGAACATTCGCACTTGGAGTCTTGGAGTCTTGGATATAATACTCAGTACTACAGAACAAAGTCCGAATATGATGTTTATAAGGAGAGAAAGAAGAGAAATAGAGTTTTTCAAACTCTACTATCTAAATATTAAAACAGGAGATTACATTTGAAGAATAGATAGATAGATATATAGAGTACAAGTAATAAATATCAACACACTCAAGCACCACACCTCCGAGTCCCACCTCCATAAAATTCCAACCCATCATCCAAGACAAATAACCAACTTTCCCCCCATCAGTGATAGAGCATTACTAAAATCACTATCAAGCAATAAAAAATTCTCATCACTCAGTTGCGATCACTGCCAATGATCTAGCGTATAATTATCCCATCTATTCCTTCTAAATCTGAACCTACCACGTAAAATTTACCGTTCTCTCATCAATAACCCTACAATACCTCGATCTCACATCTTCAGATCAACTCTAGATGAGAAGAGAAGAGAAGAGAAAATATACAGATACACACATATTCTATCCATCCTAATTGATTAAGTAGGTTTACGATATTCTTATTTGGAAGGAAAGGAAAGGAAAGGAAATGTTAGAGAATAAGAAGGATTTATACACTTGTATATTATATCAGTATCTAGTTATATCTTTTAGAGATCTCTCGAGTCTTCAGCGGTACGAGTAAACTGCTAACTAATAGTATAAGGAAATCTCAGTTCTCAGTCCACTAATAGAGAAGCCTTTAAGTTAAACAATAAACATATCATTACCTCTTATTTTACTATTTTACTATCTCACACATTATCAATAGTACTTCGAGTTACTAAGTTCTATATATAGAAGATTAACAAATCACATTTATACTCAAGTACTCTAGTATCTAATACCCTCCATCTGCCTCTTCCTCTACCTCTACCTCTACCTCCCATATACAAAGTTCCACACACCAACCCGTTCAAGTCAGACAATGAGAAAATATCATCATCATATACTACTCGAGTACGAGTATTCAATGTCAATCTTTTACGATAGATAGATAGATAGATAGATTTACTTCAAGTTGTTTTGGATTAATTAGATAATACCTAGTAATATGATGAGGGGAGAAAAAGAGAGAGAGAGAGAGAGAGAGGTGAACGAAGATGATAAAGGGGCTACTAGTAGTATTAGTAGTATTATCGCTATTTTTATTTTATTATTATTATTATTATTATTATTATTATTATTATTATTATTATTATTATTTCATTATTACTATTACTATCTTCTTTATTTAGATAGATATAAACATCATTATCATTCCTCAAAAAAACACTATGATCCTATATATATACCTCTCATATCCCTCTCCCTCTCCTTCTTTCCCTCTCTCCCATTCTCCCATTCTCCCTCTCTCCCATATCTCCCATTCTCCTCTAAACCTCTCCCCCAACCCCAGCCCCTCTCCATCAACCCCCCTCTCCATCTACTCGTAATCTTACAAACCAAATATCTTTCTCAAATGCACACCTCCCTCACCATCCCTCACCATCCCTCACCACCCCTCACCATCCCATACCATCCCATCACCTACCTACCCACCTACCACCTACCCACCTACCACCTACCTCTTATTCAACTACCCTACCCCCCATCCCATCCCATTCCATCCCATACCCACCACCTACCTACAAGCTAAATTAATAATAAATCATTTCAAGTTTGGAGAAGAATCCTGTACTCGTAGTATTACTCATAATAATTATCTAATATTCTTTGTTAACTATTCACTACTCACTACTCACTACTCACTAATTACTCATACTTTAACTTTCGGCAACCAACTATGAACCAACAACTATGAACTACGAGTAAGTTGCAAATACAAGTAGAACAAGGATTTATATAAATACCCAAAAAAGCGAGATATTTAATACATACGAGTATTATCTATCCATTCAATCATTAATCCATTCATTCATCCATAGAATGTAATCTTATAACCATATGATACTTTGACATACACTACTCAATGCTCATACTCGCTAACTTGAACTAAATACACTCTCCACCCCATCCCCATCTCCAATCCCTTCCTTTCTATAACACACACATTTCCCCTTCCCTTCCCCATCCCTCCATTACACTCCACCAAATCCAAATCCTGCTATCCACAAAAACAATCCTTCATCCTCAACCAAACAAACACTTCAAAGAGAACAAAAGAGAACCCATTCATAAATCATAAACCAATCAACCAACCAATCACCTAAAAACAAGACTACCATCCATCCACCCAATTCCAGCCAATGAGTCCCATGCCATTTCCTTTCATTTCCAAAGAACTCCGATGTCAAATGAACGGATGGATATAACATTTCAACTCCAGCTCCAACTCCCTGCTCCAATGCAATGTTCCTCTCATTCATTCCCCAATTATTACAAGAATTTTTAATACCTTCCCTAATCCTACTCATCGAGATCGAAAAGAAAATTCCCTCCCATCACACCTCAATTCGTAGCCTATCGAGATTTAACATTACTTCTTCCCCTCCCAGGCGTAAGACCTCCAGCTGGCGCACTGATATCTCTTCGATTTCCACCCTCTACCATTTGTTTTCTAGGCGTCATTGTTCCATTTGCTAAACTTCTTGCTCTACCTCTTCTTTCTTGGATCATTGCTAGAGCTTCTTCTCTTGACACTGTTCGGCCTAGAGCTGGGGTATTGTTGTTGTTTGGAGGAGTGGAGGCAGTTGGTGTTTTTGGGGTTGTGGCATGTGCTTGGTCTTCCGAGGGGTCGGCAAGGGGAACACGGGTTGTAGTCGAGACAGTATGGAAGGTTGGTTCGTGGTGATGTTGATGGGAGTGGGGGTGGTGGATTGTGATTGAGGAGGAGCCGTTTAAGTCTTCAGGATTCGTCTCATCGTCGACTTTGGCTTCGGGTAGATTGATGGGGCTTCGAAGAGACCGGGTAGTTTTTGGACTGTCGACTTCATCGAAGATTGAAAGGAGGGAGGTATTGGGACCGGACATCAGAGCGACGGCGGGTGGATCGTAAGATGGTGTTACTGCTCTTTGGGGGTGGGCAGAATATTCCGATAGCTTTTCGAAATGAGTGTCGGATTTCGAGGACGCATCCTCCATCGAATTTGAGGACTCTTCAGGTACTGATTTGAATATGCCTTCGGATGGAACAAAAACAGTGCTTGTTCTTGGAGCTTTGGCTTGTCTTGTTGAATCATCATAAAGTTCTTGTGTATCGGTTGACTTTCTTTTGTTGGACTTTGGATCGCACACATGTAAGCTAGATTCCATCTCCAAGAACTCGACTTGATCAAGGCCTCTGTTTGCTCTTTGAATCTCCCATTCCAGCTTTAGTCTAAGATCATCGAGTTCTTCCTGAACAGCCGGAGATGAAAGAGGTGCAAAAGTATCTATTGATCTTCTGACCTTCTTTGGTGATGAGATTTTATCATCCTTGGTAGATTGTGGTGATTGTATTCGTCCTTCTGCGGCAATTCTGGCGAATTCTTCATTCTTGGCAATCGTCTTGAAGAGATCCCTTTCCTGTTCCACCACCTGAATCCTCTCTTGTAACCGCACCAATTCTTCCTGTACTTCCACTAATTCGTCCTGTACTCGCACAAGTTGATATTTTGCCGAAAATGCTTCTTGTTCTCTCTTCGAACTGCGATCCTTTTCCTGCTCCAAGCCACCTTGAACCATCCTTAATGTATCTCTTGAAGCTTTGAGTTCTTCTTGCACTTTGACCACGACGGACTGTGACTTAAAGCCTTCTTTTCGAGCTCGTCGAATTTCTTTCTCCCATAATGCTTGTGTATGTGAATGTGTTTCCTTGGCTCGACCATAATTTTCCTATGAGATAAGGGATTAGCAAATATTTACAATGAGAATATTGAGGACATACCATAACACTCTCAAGTCTCTCTCCGACCTTTCTTTCTCGTTCCTTTCCTTCCTCCATCTGTCTTCTCAATATTCTAGCTTCATCTCTATATCGGCGCATCTCACTCTCTGCTTCCTCCCTCCCAACCATTGCGCGTTTCAACGCAGCATCATTTGTTTTTCTTTCCAGTTGCTTGCTTTGATAAGCCAATGAATTAAACTGTGCAATCTTATCGTTGACTGAACTATCTCTTGAATGTTTGCTGGCTTTCTTTTCGCCCGTCGGAGATTGAGGTAGATCCCATTGTTTTTGTTGATTGATGCGTTCAGGAGAAACTTGATGTAATGGTGTACCTGGAGGATAATTCTCCATAAGTTTCTGTGGTGAATCCATTTGGTTTGTTTGTAACCAGAAATTTTATTATGATTATGATATTGTTATGTCGTCAGGAAAGGATTGATATGTTTATGGAGAAATTGTTGTAAAGTTGGGTCCAAGTTTGGATTGTTTACTTTACTTTACTAGTGCTTATTTTGGTTAGTTTGGTTTCTAGGAGAACGATATTTAAATCTGGAGCCGAACAACACACAAGTAAGAAGATGGGATGAAAATTTACTAGACTTCAGAATTGATAAGAGTGAATTATTCAAAGACTTGCATAAGTAGGTATACACATAGATATTATATTGAAAACTTGAGGATATATATTATTATATTGTGTATTGTGTTCCTTTTTACTCTTAGTACAAAAAGTACATTCATTTGACTTTCATTAGCCGTCTGAAGTAGCCGAGCATCCCTAAGTCCGATCTATCCCCATCACCAAATATGAGTACAGTTACTCATTATGAAGTCACGTTTTCGCTGTCATTCAACACATATCTGGAAGTCATGTCATACCAGAGTTTTTCTTGTTAGCTGATGATATCCTCCAGATAGTGTTCCTAGATAATCCAAACACCTAAATCCCAAATCCAAATCCTATTAATGTCATGTCTTCATATATTCGGTGTCGGCAGTACATATGATCGATTTCGATCGTGTTGCCCAATATAGTGAGGCATTTCATTGCCGAGGTATTCCGAACTCTTCAACAACAGGATTCATCAAGCTCTTCTGACTGACTCAATTCAAACACCTCAACACTGCACAATCAATCAACTCAAGTCATCCTCGCCCGTGCTACAATTTTCTTGTCTGTGGTATTCGGCATTCCCATCTCAAAGTATCCCGAACCATTTTCCAGCAACATGATCATTATCTTCTCCTTCCGTCACGTTTCGGTTGTCCTGATACTGTGGAATTCAAAGGGGTCAGATTGGCAAGATAAATCTATCCACGAGTTGTGGTTCTGCTGTGCATGGTGTTCGGATATTTCTTCGCCAAATACCCAGGATTTCTTCCCATCAGCAAAGAGTCGCTCGATGTTGAAGCAGTTCTAGAGAAGTAACTCTAGTGTGTAGAGTACCATTCACCAAAACAACTATCCTCCCCTTACCGTTGAATTGACCAAGCTCCTATCATCGACAATTTACGATTTGGCTGTTCGTGATATCCAGATATTGTTTCTTTGCAATGTAACCCGAACCCCCTCCAATTACTCCCAACAACACGATCATCAAGTTCTTTCACTCAGCCGCCCGAGTTGTCCCAGTGAAGACCACCCAATTAATCAAGCTCATACCCTCCAAGCTCAAATCGCTATTTCATCATGACTTTACTCTTCGTAATCTTCATGTATCAATCACATCAATCACCACTTTCTCATGCTCATCATGATTGACTCGACTCGCCAATGACATTACAGCACAGAACATCCATGAAGTACATTAGATACTTCAGAAACAAGGAACCTTCTCCTTGAATATAAAAAGGATGGAGATAAAGCATAGACATGGAAATGTCTATAACACCTGATCATCAAGAGCCGTTGATATTGTACAATGTTGCTGATCAAACACCACCTTCCTTTTAAAACCCTTGGTTCTAAACATTCACTGGGTTACAAGACCCGGAAAAGATAGGGTTACAAGTAAAAAGTGAAAAACTACAGGCGAGTTGAAGAAATGGGAATTGGGGTGAGTGAGAGTGAGAGTGAGTGAGTGAGAGAATGAGAGAAATGAGAGAAATGAGAAGATAGAAGTCGGAGATGGATATTAAAAACAGTCAACAATAAAAATAAAAATAATATAATCCCCGTTTTATGTCAATTCTTTGCCGCCATCAACAACCCTTTGGTACAAGTAATAAGATATGTACTTTATCGACGATATTCATTCTCTTTATCTCTCTTTCATCCATTAGTAAGATTGAATTTCTTATTTGCTGTGATGTGGGTGAAGTGGGTGGTTGCGGAGAGAAAGAGTTAAAAAAATCCTCGCGTCCGTTCACTCGCTAAACCTATTTAGTAATCAATTCTCACTTAGCGCACTTCTCTCTGTGGGTAATCTCGGAAGCTGTCCTTCTCATAAAATCTTTTTCCTGGGCAAAATAACAAACCTCTTCTTCTTCCCATTCTTCTTCTTTTCAACATCAACCTTAATACCATCTCCCCTCAGTCCTTTTTTTAGATCTTTAGATCATCAATACCGAAAATATGAGCGACTTACCAAAGAAAGAGTCCGTCATGGGCGTGTAAGTTTTGAATACAATTTCCTTTAATTTTTCTATTCTCTTTTTCCTTGTGATTTGCGATTTATGGGATTTGGAGTTTTCGGAATGCCACATCAACAACTACATCAACCTTAATCGAAAGACGAAAAAGCTCAATTAGACTATAATTATAGTATCGAGATGATTATTGTCCTTCATGGATATTCTCAAACCTTACGTTGTTGATCAATGGCATTCCGATCTTGAATTTCATTTGGCCCCGAGTTCGCTACAAATTTTCTGGTCAACCATGATACTGACAATATTTCAATAGTCCTCCTTTCATCATTGATTTCTTGAGTACGTCTACCCCAATATTTCAAAATCGATAAATATTACACAATCTTTCTCAAGGGAATTCGAAAAACCGATGAATATTGAAGGATTTTTGTACATTGCAGGATACTGATTTGTGCGATAGTGGGTGGTGTCTCCGCTGCTGTCTCCAAGACCGCTGCTGCTCCAATCGAGCGTGTCAAGCTCTTGATCCAAAACCAGGTATGTTTATTTTGAAGATCTGTCATTCAAGTCCTACTTTCGAACATCTCAATCTGGATATGGACATGCATATGTACAAATTGAGGTGATGCATATTCATTTCTTCCGATATCTCATATTTAAAAGATCTGGAAAATCATTACCCCGAAAATAACTACATCCCACTTTCTAAATTATATCTACTAATACAAATGTTTCATAGGATGAGATGTTGAAGACCGGCCGTCTCGCACGCAAATACGATGGTATCGCTGAGTGCTTCAAGCGTACCACCGCAGAGGAAGGTTTCGCCTCCTTATGGAGAGGTAACACTGCCAACGTTATCCGTTATTTCCCTACACAAGCCTTGAACTTCGCTTTCCGTGATACCTACAAGTCGATGTTCAACTTCAAGAAGGAGCGTGATGGATATGCTAAGTGGATGGCCGGTAACTTGGCATCCGGTGGTGTAAGTTTTCTCTGGAATGAATCTCTATCACTTACAAATGCTAACATTTTCAAAAGGCTGCTGGTGCCACTTCCCTTCTCTTCGTCTACTCCCTCGATTACGCCCGTACCCGTCTTGCCAACGATAACAAGAACGCCAAGACTGGTGGTGACCGTCAATTCAATGGTCTGGTAGATGTTTACAAGAAGACCCTCGCTTCCGATGGTATTGCCGGTCTTTACCGTGGTTTCGGACCTTCCGTTGCTGGTATCGTTGTTTACCGTGGTCTTTACTTCGGTATGTACGACTCCATCAAGCCAGTCGTCCTTGTCGGTCCTCTCGAGGGTAACTTCCTTGCTTCCTTCGCTCTCGGATGGACTGTCACCACTGGTGCTGGTATCGCTTCTTACCCATTGGACACTATCCGTCGTCGTATGATGATGACCTCTGGTGAGGCCGTCAAGTACAAGTCTTCCATGGATGCTGGTCGTCAAATCATCGCCAAGGAGGGTTTCAAGTCTCTCTTCAAGGGTGCTGGTGCCAACATTCTCCGTGGTGTTGCAGGTGCTGGTGTCTTGTCCATCTACGATCAAATGCAAGTCTTGATGTTCGGAAAGGCATTCAAGTAAATGTTTGTAGTATGAAGTAGGGGATGGTTGATGTGTGGTGGTTGATGATAATGCGAAATGGGCGCCGGGGTTGGTCGTGGTTAAAAGCGGCAAGGTTGAAGTTGTACAGACATCCATTGCCATGGTGTTGGAGCAACTTGCATTGATAGTTTGAAAAAGAAAAGACAAACTAGTCTCTGCTGTACTTTATTACCTAAGCGATTTTCCTGTTCCATCTTGATCTTGCTGTCTTCGAACTTTGGGTCTGGTCTTCTGATATCATTGCTTTTTCTGTCAAAAATTTCTTTTGCATGCTTGAATTTTAAATAGATTGTGAAGATGGAAGGACAGTCAGTGGTGGGGTGGGATAGTAAAGTGTTAAAAGAATACGATATTATACAAATACTTGTCTGTCCGAAATTCCCTTTGAGATCCTATATAATACAACAGTGCGCTTATCTACTTTCTACATGCTAGGAGTCTTATATAAAAAGATTTCTTTCCCCTATCCCCTATCTTCCTACCTTGTTTATGCGACCCGGACTTCTGCTCGAGTATGTATAAGATCCAAGATCAATTTGAATTGTTATTCTTGTTCATTTCATTTCATTTCACTAACGTTTGCTCTTCTCGAGTGTTATGAGGAGAAGTGAGGAAAGTGAGGTTTAGAATGGAATGGTTTTGTAGATGGTGATTGTAGATGATGAGGGAGGATGATTGAGAATGAGGAAGGTGGTGAAGAGTGAGGGAGGATGAGAGGAGTGGTAAAAGATGAGGGTGGATGAGGAGGGTGGTGAAGATGGGGGAGGATGATGATTGAGATTGAGAATGAGGAGGGTGGATGAGGGTGGATGAGGAGGGTGGTAAAGAGTGAGGCAGGATGAGAGGGGAATGATGAGTAAGAGAGGAGTCAGAGGATGAAAGGGTTTGATGGTTTTGGATGTTAGATGTTAGATGATGGTTATGATTGAGGGTGGTGAAGATGAGGGATGATGATAGGGGATGTATGAGTGGGAATAGGAGGGGGGTCAAATGGACAGGGAGGATGAGGGAAGATAAGAGGGGATAAGAGGGCGGATGAGGGAGGCTGATGGGATAACAGTGGAGGAGAGGGGATAAAAAGATGAGAGGCAGGATGTTTAGGGTATGGAGATAGATATCAATGATGAAAAATATGATAATGAAATATTGGATTCATGATTCAGTTC